GGGGGGGCCCCAGAGGAGCAGGAATCATGTCCCAAATTCCCCTCTCCAAGCCCTGAAGAGGCTCCCACATTCCAGGAAAGAGAGGGACCCGATCCCTCCTTTCACCCGGAGCGGAACCCAACCCCAGCCCCCTCCTCCCTCTGCCCTCCAGGCAGGGAAAATCCCACCGGGAACGACCCTGGGGAGGCAGCAAATCCCAAATCCTGCCCGGTCCCTGCTCCAGGTGCCCCAGGAAGGGGATTCCCGGATAATTCCCGTCGCTCCCGAGCAGCACAAAGAACTCAGCCGGGACCGAACGAGCAGGAAAAAGGGAAACTTTTATTAAAGGCCTCGGGACAGACACGAAAAGCATCAAAATTCCACCCAAAAAACGCACCGTCGGGACACGGCCGAGCATCAGCACGGGATGGCTGCGCAGTTCCTTGGAGTTATTCCCGAAAAACTCTTCCCGCTGCAGCCACGACCCCGCTCTCCCCCGGCTCGGGGAGGCCGAAGCCCCGCCTCGGCAGGAAGGAGGAGTTTTTGGGATCTGCACCAACCCCAAACACGCTTTTGCCTCGCGGGAGGAGACCCCAGAGATCCCGAAATACCCCCAGAGTGAACAGAGACACCCAGAAACCGGGAATGTTCTCCCCCTTTGGAGTGGGACACTTGGAATTTCAAGCAATTTAATGTCCCTCAAGCTCTGGGCTGCATTGAAGAACAGGGAACAAGGGAGGGAGGAGTTGATGGGTTATTTTGCTCCAAAGAGCCCGAAATAAATCTGCCTTTGGGCAGAAAACAGCTCCAGGCAGAGGAGAATCGTGGAATTCCAGCCCCGAGCCCGTTCCCAAAGGAAAATAAGGAGAAATCCAGAGCAGTTTCACCCTTTTCTCCTTGACACGTTTTTAAAAACCCAGCCCGGGGTGAGACCTGAGGGATGGAAATCTTCCAAAATCCAATTAAGGGGGGGCAGAGAATCTCCGGGTCCCTTCGGCAAAGGCGCAGCGGGAATGTGGGATTTGCCAAATCCAGCCCCGGGAGGTCTGATCCCGCTCCCAGGGGGATATTCCAGGGTAGGATGGAGCCTCGGGAGCAGGATGGAGCCTCGGGAGTGTCGTGGCAGGGGCAGGAATTTGTTTTGCAGCCGCTTTTGTGCCTTTTGTGAAAGGCCCCCGGGCGTTGCTTCCCAAGGGTTTCCCTCCCTCCCGGGAATGTGGCCGGAGTTACTTCCTGACGCTGCGGCGGCTGCTGGAGGTGGTGGTGATGGAGTAGGACTTGGTGGCCCCACCCGAGGAGAAGCCGAGGGCTCCGCTGCCCATCCCGGCGCCGAGGGCTCCTCCCAGGAATCCTCCGGAGCTGGAGAAGCCGCCGCCGCCGCTGGAGCTGACCACGGCTGGGAAAACCGGGAAAACACACCCTGAGCCCCCGGGAGCTCCAAACCCGGCTGGGAACCCCCGGGAAAGGGGGGAGGGGGGTTCCAGCAGCCATCCCATGGATTCTCCAGGGAATCGTGGGATGGGTTGGGTGGGAAGGGAGTGGAAAGATGATCCCGTTCCCACCCCCTGCCACGGGCAGGGACAGCTCCCACCATCCCAGGGGGATCCAACCCGGCCTTGGACACTTCCAGGGATCCAGGGGCATCCTCTGGGAAATCCATTCCAGGGCCTCCCCACTCTCCCAGCCAGGAATTCCTTCCCAATATCCCACTTAAATCCCCCCTTTCCCAGTGGGAAGCCATTCCCTGTGTGCTGTCCCTCCAGCCCTTGTCCCCAGTCCCTCTCCAGCTCTCCTGGAGCCCCTTCAG